TTTTACACTGAAAGTTACATTTGCATCCGGATGGGCTTGATTTAATACTATTGCCAAGGCTGGTGATGGAGACTGTTGAACAGTAGTTTTTACAAACTCATCAAACCAATGAATTCGGGTTAGTTTAGGATAACACGGATCAGGTTAAGGGGTTGTGGGGATGCAGTTTCCACAGCTAAATTATTTATCAGCAAGAGCAAGTGCACTGACCAGAAGAGGACTTCAGGACAAAAGTACTTATCCTGTTTTGTTTCATTTATTTGTTGTGCTAATATGATTTTTTTTATCATGGTGTCATTTATTGTTTAGTCCAGGGCTCAGTCAACCTACTGTACCTGTCCGTGTCCGCCAATGGCATGATTAATGGAGTGCTATCATGTACTTGTGTCAGAAAATTTGAACACAGTGAGTGCAGAATCAAGAAAGGAAGTGAGAATGTAGAAATTGTTCTGACAATCAGTTTTCTGGCACTCTGCCACTCATTTGAGGCTGGTTCTCATCAGTGACGCCCTCCGTTTACCTGTGACAGGGTTCTCGGTGCAGACATATCTTTGTAATATTGATAATTCACCTGTAAAGTACTAATGTTTTAGGACTCCAAGCATTTAGATTGAGATGATCTTGTACGTACTTTAAATTTTGCTGCCATGAGCATTTCTCTGATTTGTCAGATGTGATTGTAACAACCTAACGTTTCGGTGGGTGGGTGTATGAGTTAAATTTCGTTCACATCAAAAATCGCATTTTACTTTAAGCACCTATTCTGACATTTTCATTTGACGTTGTCAAAAATATTCCCCGCAACGAAACATGAGGTAGTTTTGTGCTGAATATTGGGGAATCTGGAGTTTGCTTGGTTCTCTGTGCCGTTTCCAACGGTGAAGTTTGACTGTACTAGGTTTAAACGCTGTCGTCGCACTCCAGCTGACTTTATAGGCAATCGAAACTTTTAAAGATTAATACAGATATCAATTGCATTGTTCATAGAGACACGAGGTCAGTGAAAAGTTCATACAAATTTCGAATGCACCTTAGTTTTTTTTCTTCTTTTTTTCCCTCTGGCTTATAACCATTTCCATGAGAATATTTCCAATCCCTTTTTTAAAACTTTTTCTTTTTAGATGTAAACTGTGTGAATCTTTTTTTTTACCTTTTGTAGAATCACAGGGTTGGCGTGTGGTCATTAGCTTTTTATTGTTTAACTGAAAAGGAACATTTATTTAGTGCGAATTGATCCAGACTTCGTTCAAATTAAAGCGCAATACATTGTGTATGTGTTGGTAAACTGTTTTTGTGTAAACAGTCTTATGCCTTCTAAAGCATATCATGATGTGTGTAGTGATTGATCTAGTGAGTCTTGTTAGTTAATTAACTGTAAGATCACTTCCCAAAATAATGTTTCAATTTTAACTTGAAATTCTTGGGAATTTTTAACCATCTTTTTCTAACTATGCATTCTTAACCAAGAGATTTTAGTGGTATGTTTATGTGTGTGAATTTAGAACATTTGTAATGTAGTCGTTTTCATGCTGGGTACTTTTAGTCGTGTAAATAGTGCAAACCCTGTACCCACTGTAGCAGTATTAGCTTACAAAATACTCTATTTTTATTATCAACAATTGGATGTTCTTTGTATGGCTCTCAATTATTCCTGTTAGCCGAACAAGATTACATATGTACTTGTAGTTAATGTCCTACCATAACTGAAGCACAATAGGACATTATAATTGTAGGTGCTAGAGTTTATTCTTGAGACTACCATTTTTTATATATATATATATAGATCTTGTTTAACTCCAACTCTTAAACAAGAACCATAGACTGGTCAGAGAGCTTAATGGGTATGTTTGGTTTTCGATCTGGTGAAATCTGACATTTTGACCCTGAAACCTTTTGCCATTTTCTAAACCCAACAGACTGTGTATAAGGGGCATTTTAATTTATCTTCAAATACTTGATTAGAGTCATGATATTGTTTGGCGCTGGTCTCAACTCGTGAAAGTAGATGCACTTTGAAGAGCAATGGACACAGACCCTAGTTCCAGTGTTTATCTGGATCATGAGTACACTCTCTGGGTGCAGTTGTGTGGAAATGACTAGATGTCCTACCTCTTGTTACCTGTTACTTGTGTTATGGTAACATTACCGCACTGGTCATTTCCTCATAATTGCACGAGTGGGGAACGTTGTCTTTTCGTCCCTCTGAAAGTGAAAGTGGTAGATGTCACCGAAAATCTTTTCGTATTTGTTCAGAGGCCATACCTGCTGCCATTTAGCCTAGATTATTTAGCATTGCTATTGTTTTGTTATGGTAGTTAAGCTATGTTTTCAAAGCTAGAGTTGAGTGCTGCAAGTTTCAGATGTCATACATTTGATGTTTCATAAGTCAGACATGAATCCAAAAGAATATTTATATATGCTTTCAGTGAATAAATGGCTTAATGCTTTAAATGTGTGGCATAAGCTATAAAAATGTTCATAACTATGTAGTGTGAATTCCAGTTTCCAGTCCTTTTTCAATTGAAGCGCATTGTCGCTTTATCCATGTACTCATTTGAATATGCGTCACTTAGCTTTTTTGTGTTTTTCTTTTACAACTTTAGGTTTTTAATAATAGTATTTATCATTTAGCATTAGAAATATGAGAGATCATTTCTCAAACTACTTAGATTTTCTCTGGACAACTGAAACCATTATTTTCGTCCTCATGACCTGCTTTAGTTAGATGTTTGCAGAAGTTACTGAGTTTAGTATTTTAACCTGTTCAAAATCAGCACCTTAGTCAAAGGTCTACAACATATGCAATTTCTCAAATATGAAATATGAGATGTTTTTGCACTATATCAGAAGAGGTGTTTCTAATTTGCATGCTGGTGAACAGATTTGTAAGGTTAGAGAGAAGAACCATCATTTTTAGACTAGTCTTGGCCTTGTTTCACATTGGCACTAATCGATTTATAGTTGACAGACGTGAGAAGGTCTTGGGTTCTTACACTATGCAAAAACACATTTCCATTCTGAGCAGCCTCTGTTTTTTATAAATGGGGTTGTTTTGTTTTTATTTTTTTGTTTCTTTTTCTCTGTAAAATCTGTCAAGCACACCACAATTATTTTTTCCACTTCACTATACTATCAACTGACGTTTTTTAATGATGCCATAAGGAATCTGATGCAGAGGTTCGATAAAAATAATTCTGTTCAAATGTTGTGAATGCAAATGTAATAGAGGCCAAGGATGAATGAAGTACGATGCTGGTTTTGTAGAGACCATCGCGTTAATCTATGCTGCAGCATCTCGCTTTCAGATTTTAAGAGGCACATTAATTAAAAATTGAAATGGTGCCTCAATTTCCCTGGAAGCTTTGAATTATCTACCAATGTTTTGACGATAACATTTAATGGATGTCTCTTGTGTCATGATTTCTAGAGTATTGACTCTTCCTGCTTTAGTGAAGCTTGTATATTGCTTTGGCGATTGCAAAGTGTCTTTCCAGCTCTGTGTGGGGTTACAGTGTCCACATGCCTCTTCGCTTTACTAAAACTAGTCAGTTTAGCTTTGATTATTAGTTTGTGCCCCAACAACTTTCAGATTTGAATTTCATTCATGTCAGACAAAACAAAAAGTCCCATCAAACGAATTGTGCCCCCAGCTTGATGATCAGAGGTGGTCTTTTAACCTATAGAGATATATTGCTAATGTATTTGCATTAGAACTTTGCACTATAGTGTTTTTAAGCAGAAATGTAAGCCTCTCTTTACACACCGTAGTAGTTTTGTTACTGTTCTCATTGCTTTTTAAATTCCTAAGGTGGCAAGTTTCAAAGATGCTACCTTATGATCTGCTAAAACCATAAACAGTTTGAATGTACTTCATACACCTGCATACTGGTAAATAACACCCACATTACTTTCATCTGTTTGCTCCAGTTTGTTTAATGCATGCACATTTAAAGCAGCATTGAATCGTTTGGCTTTGATTCGTCATGGTTGTGATGTACTAGATTAACAGATATGGTTGATTCAGTCAGTTGATTCAGAATACACACCGGCACAAAGATCCACCAAGTATCGCTGACGTGTGGTGTGGTGCTGTACTGTAAACTGTGTACATAAGCAATTTTTAGTTGTTTCATGTTTTTTGCCATGTATTGCTTGTATGTTTGCCAGAATTTCCAACTAAAGTTTCATCCAAAGGGTTTTTGAGATATACACATACCTATGTTCGTATATCCACCCAATAAGCCAAATTCACTTGTTTTTAAAGCCCTTTTTGCTTTACCAGCAAACACTCTGTGGTGGTCCCGTAATCATGACAGTGACACTTGCTGAGCCTCAATTCATTGTGTGCACAAACTAAACC